TGTTTCTTCTGTGAGTGTGTATGTCACTGAACTTCTCTCAAACGACTGGACCGATTTTGATGAAATTTATTGTATGTGTTCAAGGGGATCTGGGATTGGTTTAACTTCACAAATCAACCCGGCAGATGGCGCTGCAGTCGATGTTTAGGTTTGTTAGAATTTGTGCATCAAATGAAACAACTAACGCCATCTATTGGCACTAGTAGATAACTTAAGTATAAGGAACGACTGTTTACATTTCCGTTTGCTAATGTCTCTATTGATATCATTTCATTCCTTTTTGTACGATTTATTTGTTTCCGGAAGAAATAAAGAATCAGTTCACTGTTCGCCACCGTGAGAGTATGTTGTTGAGTTTTATTTCCATTAAGGTTATTTATCCTAAACAGCTGAACTAATTTGAATGAATTTTTGTTTATACATTCAAGTGGATATGCAGGACAACGTCTGTTGGGTCCGCTAGTATTTATATAAAGAACATTCAGCAGTGGTAACATAAAATGGGTAAGTTGAAATCCTATGGATCCATCTTTGTCCAAGCCGCAATCTGAGAGACGTTCGGTTGGCCCATACATCACCAGTTGCACCCTTGTTTACCCAAACAGATTTCTTACACAACATAAGAACGATACGTTTTTGTTATACCTACGAATGAATTTGAGTTTGTTTAAGTGGTGGCGAAAGAATGATGATTGTGATTGCTGGGTATGAGGTGTTAAGGTCGTTTTTACGTTGGAAGCATCATTACACAATTGTTTTTTATTTACACAAACTTGAGGATGATTTGACTTGATGTTAGATACAAAATAATAAGGAATAACTTACCTAAATCATGACCGTTCATCAGCCAGTAAATACCTGAAAAAGAAATAAGAATAATAAGTTTCAAAGGTAATCAAAATGGTACGCGACTTAAAACTACAGAGCTTCTGGTACTATATGTACAAAGTTTATGAAATTTGACACACATCTACATAATTTTGAGATCCCTTACCCATCAATTACACTATCTACGTTGCATCATTGACGAATACATGCATCCTTCACAAGCAATAGGTAACGTTAATGATAATTTCTTTTTAAAAGTTTTATTTTAACAAATATTGCTGTGCCCTTACAGGGTCCATAGATGTACTTAGCTTTAAGCCTATTGTAACTTTTTATTTACTTCATGGTACGCAAATAAATGAATATGAATATGAAATAGATGATATGGTATCAGGCTGGGTGATATCGCTATGACCGCGCATGTTGCTTATGAGGAAGAGCCCCTTTGTGGTTCGACACTACTAGAGCGTTTCTCAGTACATAAAATATATAAACGTGAGTAATCCACAGGTTTTAGTTAATTTAAGTAATTAGGCCATTGGTCATTTGGCCTTTTTATTAGGGACAAGCCCGTCACAACCTCCCAAAACCACTGCAATTCCTGTAAGCCAGGATCTACAGTAGATACAACCATGAAAACCCCGGAACACTGAAGACCGGCGCGTCCCAGGGACATAAATAACACTGCCTTGGTTCCCGCAACGAAGTGAATCAGAAGATATTATAAGAGGAGAAGAAAAAAAAACGATAGTTTCCACTTCCCTCGGTGAATTTCTGCAGGAGACAGAGTGAATAAAGCCTAAAGGCACAAAGAAAAGAGACAGACTTTGGCGGCCTAAAAATTACAAATGCATGCGTCTTGTTTAGAAACAATGAAAAAGTGACCATAAGTGGCAACATGAACATTCGCCTATTGTGTTTGACGAATGCATGCATTCGTCATACGACACGGGCATAAATAATAACATAATATACTTTGATCTACCTATTTAATCTTACGTATACAAAAATGGACCTTAACAATTTAACTTCAGTTCTACTGGTACAAGACTCAGATAGACATGTAAACATATCAAATAATTTATCAATATAATTCCCAACTCAAAATTGAATTACATAACATGTCGAGTGGGTTAACGCTCATTTGATATCTCAATTATGCGGATTCAGTTCCGGAACTGAATGAACCGAAACTGCCGGCAGTTTTGATATAAATATGTAATTAAGGATTACAAGATTATGTTCCCGTGGTTTATGTGTTAAACTTAGTTTAATAGATTTGTGTAATTGAAGGTGAAACTAATAAAGGTAACTAGTAGACACCTGGTATTTGATGAGAGTGTAGGTGTGCATTATCATATTAAAGCTTACTTTCCACTGACAAGTATAATTTTAGATTCTACGCCATATTGCATGAAATAACAAAACCAAATCCCTAACGAATCAATCAAATGTTGAAAAAATTCGAAGTTTCATTTTTACAAAGTACTTTTATTAATGCTCTGCCTGTCTCGTTAGCTGAGTAGTCACAAGGGGTCTCAGGTTCGATTCCCGGATCGGGCAAAATACTGCTGGGTTTTCTAAAAGAAATCTCAGTAGGGATCTGGAATTGTGCCCGGTATTTGGTCATGTTCGCCGCATGTGGGCAAAACTTACTACTGAGTGAAGCCCACTCAACGTCAGTAGACGTCGCGGCAGGCCCAAAAAGAGATGGCGGGACGAAAGGGATATCTATTACAAGGATTGGAAGCAAAAAGCTTTACATAGAGAGGAGTGGAAGAAGGGTAGGGAGATCTTTGCCCTGCAGTGGGACGATCATGGCTGAAAATAAATAATAAATAAACTATGGTCACCGCCTAATACATAGGACTCATAACTCAAATAGTGAAAAGTGGGTGTTACGCTGTACAGTGGCTTAATATAGCTATTTGATAAATTCTTTTTGATCTAACATCAGGATACTTAACTTAACTTGCACGCTTACGTCTTAGCCCAATCTAGCTCACTTGTTTAATACATATTTCTACGGAATCATTGTTCTAAATCGGATTATTCTTGGAAACTTAATTACGATTTAATATGAAAGACTTATTTAGGTATTAACATTATACAAAACCATAAAGATTTAGGCTACCTACACTTCACAAGAGACTATCATAAATATGAATTTCTCAAAATAGATGGGCAAATTCTGATTACAGTTCTATTTCTGAAATTGTCTCTTTGAAACAATATTTTCTAGGATTACTTAGTCAGACTAGGTTTTGTGGTTATCTTATCAGATTATAACCAATGAGTTCGATATTTATTTAATGGTCAGTTTTAATGGTCTATGTCCAAATACTCAAACGTTACTCAATATTAAGACGTACTTATGTATAGTTCTGTCTCTACAAATTCTTTTTAAAATGACAAAGATGGCACGATAATTAAGTACCTACAACTAAACATTGAGTAGCGTTTCAGTATTTGGGTGTCATTGAAATGTTTTCAGAGAAAAATGTCATTTAAAATGACAAGAACTAAAGAAAGTGTGGAATTAAATTCAAAGATGATTGACAAACTCTACTTTCTTCTTTTTCTTTCTGCCCTTATTTCCAGCTACGTTAGAAACTCCTTTGTCTTTCATCATCATCATTATCATTTGTCATCTTTTTACATTTTCCATCCATTTTAAACGCTTTTATTTAACTTGACCAGTTTGTATGTTTGTTTCCAATTGAGTAATTGGAATTTCTTCCTCTTCCTAACCACAGATCAACTGATCTTTAGTAAATACTCTTATTCTTACTGACGATACACACCCTTTAACATAAAAATATGATACATCTATATTTTTGGCACACGTTCCAAATATGTTCAATTCAACCACGACCAAAATGTGTTCAATTCAAGTATGGGAGAGCTATGCTTCGGCGCGAATGGGCCGGCTCGACCGGAGTGATACCACGGCCTCACAGAAAACCGACGTGAAGCAACGCTTGCGTTGTGTTTCGTCGTGTGAGTGAGGTTACCAGAGGCCCAATTACCCTTTCCTTCCCCAATGTCCCCAATCCCTGAATCCCCAACGATCCTCAAGCTCCTAATCCCGAAAAGGCCGCTAACGCAATTGAAACGCCTCTGGTGTTCCTGGTGTCCATGGGCGACGCTGATTGCTTACTATCAGGTGATCCGTCTGCTCGTTTACCAGCTCATGCCATAAAAAAATCGCGTACTTACTTTTTACTAATTGTTATACATGTTTTATTGTCATAGAGTAATAAACCATTATAGTGTCTTGTGATTTAAAACTGTTACCAGCCAGTACTATTTTTTCTAGAATATCGAATCAAAGAAAACATTACTGCAGCGGCTACTCGACCTTAATTAGCAATACACCTCTTATTCAGCAAAAACAAGACCGATATTATCTTCTATTCCTGCCTAACATTTTCGCCCTACACCAAGAATATCTTATGTACATTTGAGTGCAACACTGATGTACTGTATGTCCATTACTTATGAGACCATTATCCCTTTCCACTTGGCTGGTCTTTACGACTTTATGGGTCCCGAGACGGTCTTAACGACCGCTGAAGATAAAGCGATATACATCTTTATGCTGTTTACTCTTATGATCTTGTGTATCAGCTAATAGCTTGGGGTCTGTATGGATTTTATATGGCAGCTCCCTACTTTGTAAACAAAATGACCTTTTGGAGTGATGAACTAACTGAGAAGGAATTCTTAATGAAATAAATGCGAAAGCAATTAGATATGTGTATGCTATGGTCGATACGTTAACAATTTTAGCTTTTGACTTATAATAATAATTTCAAAAATAATAATAATTTATTTATTTGCGAAAAACACGGTATACAAAGTTGTTAAAATAAATGTAAAGTCCAGCATGTTTTGCTTACAATTAAAGCATGCAAACTTGTAAGTGTCTAGTCAAACACTATAAAATCTTATAATTAGGAAAATCTAAGGTCTGTGTTCCAAAAATTGCTTAATACTATAGAAATTATATTGCGTCAACAAATCATACAATTCAATCTTAAACAGTCTACAATTCGCAGTTTTCAAGATATTTGGTAGTTTATTGAATACACAAATACACATAGCTGGACAGCTCTTATTGTATTTCACTATCCTAGGAATCTCTTCCAGTACAAGTCTGTGCTGTTGCTGATCACGCCGACTGCGTGAGCTTACTTCTTCTACTGTTTTAAATAGCTCTATATGTTTTCGTACAAACATAGACACTTCATACAGATACAATGATGGCAATGGTAGCAGACCAAGTTTTTTAAAGATGGGTTGATGGATGGTTATTCAGTAGTTCTTTGATTATTATTATCCAGTTGGCAACGGTACAGGGTCTGGAATAGTGCGTAAAGCTTGACAATAGTCTGCTTTTTGGCAAATAACTAAAGATTTTAATAAATAGTCCTAATGAAAGTCTGTTATAACAAACAAAACAAAAGGTTAAAATATTTGACCTTATAGACAATAATCCTCGCATAAAATATATACACAGTCTGTACAAAAAATGTTCATAAAAATGATCGTCCATCTTTAAAAATTATCATAATATTTCGTTCAATACCTCTGTACCGGGGCGTCGTTGTTTCAAACGGATAGCATTATCATAATGCTTTGATGTGGAAACGAAACGATGAGAGAGGAGCTCGTAGCTAGGCAACATTGCATTGTCGATAAATTGCTACATTCTGTAATTTTTTTTTAAGTGGGGATAATCATCCAATGACTTACTCCTGCCCAGGTGAGGCGAGAGGGAGTATCAGATTCTTACTGATTAAAACCACCCTGTTACTACTCTTGCACTTCGAACCCGAGCCCCGGCAACTCGTTAAGCCTCAAACCTATTAGGCCCCATGGTTAAAGGCCATCATTATCATTCAACTTCAAGCTGTCCAATGTTGAGCTGTGGTCTCCTCCGTTCCGGTTCCAATTCTGCTTATGCCAACGTGACTCCGCTTTTCATCAGTGACGTTACAGAAGATGGAATTACAGACACATTTCGG